CTTAATAATTAGCATAATTTACACTAAACACTTTATATTTAGTTGCTAAATATTTTAGAAACAATTACCTTTGGTAAGTAGTATATAATATATATATACCTATTGTAAACTGAATTGTCTTCAAGGCATTTTACGCGTGGCATCGCATGTGAACTTTCAGTATATCTATAACGTAATAACATAATTTAAACAAGCCGTGATATTAACTTGATATTATAACAATGCAAATTTATTCTATTATGATTAAAGATTTAAAATATTTAGGTAGGTAACACAGTTATAGTTTGGGAAATAATTTAATCTAGTTTTTTTTAACTACTTACCTAAAAAAAATATATAAAAATACGCGTTTGACAGATGTAACTGTTTAAATAACCATAGAAGAAGAAAAAACCGTATTTGAAGTTATTTCGATTAAATTGAGTATTGTTGCTAACATGTCACTCTTCCGTTGATAAAATACAGGTAACTGTTGTTTATTTTTTTTGTCGTCATTTGTCGTGGCTCGTGACTAGTGCTATTTTTCTCGAAAAATACCTATAGGTCTACCCATCGTATAAAATACATAAGATGTAAAAATAAAATATAAATGTTACAATAAGGTTTATGTAAGTTTTTTGTTTATTTCATAAAAAAATAACGTGTTATTAAATTTTAATACGTAACGTATTCATTTTGTTTCGCATAAAAAACGTGTTCATTATTTATGTTTACTATAAAAAAAAAAAAAATAAACCTTAAATGTCAAACATACTTATTATAGGTATTTAAAAAAAAATTGAATTCCCGGCCACGCAAGAATCAATATACACGTGTACGCGCGTGTGTGTAAGTGTGTAACAGTTTGAAAACAAATAACCTTATAAGTTATAATACATATTATTATATTGTAGTGTTACGAATTTACGATCTTAGTAACGCACGAACGATATGGTTTTATTCGAAATATTGTACAATATAATTATATTATAGGTAGGTACGTTACCAAATACAGCTATATAACGTCGTTATTTCCGAGTCAATAATTATTGTAGAAGAAACTCTGTGGATGCGTGATTTTCGTATTCTATTTTTTAAACAGTTCAATTGTTTTAATCTTCTTCTGCCACATGAGTTTATTGCATGTAATTATAATATATTAACGAAACGAAATCAAAACGTGAAAGTTTTGCTCGTATTCTATTCTATATACCGATTATACCGTCTAACATAATACATTAATACCGTTAAGCTGCGCTGCGTGTATTGGCACGAGCAAAAGAAATCAAAAATGGGGATGATTTCAAAAAACCAAAAATATTTCGATTTTCGGTGGCAGATAATTTTTTACATTTTATACCTCATATATTGCTGTTTATACTCTTTATTGGGAACAAAAATATGCATCATATGAAATTATAATCAAAAAAAAAAATGGTGAAGTCGCTCTGATATAATATAGAAGGTGTCGAATGTGTGGTGTCTCGTCATTGACTAGATGACTGTAATGGTTGTGTTTAGACTTAAATTTGAATTCAACGATAAATATTGTTGTATATAAAAGACGATTCTGAGCGGCGATGGTCTGCACCAGGCACCAGCCTATGTTTCTAAGGATAGTTTATTATATTACAATTATATTGCTAGTAATTTATTTTTATATTAATTATAAAGGGTAAATAGAACTGATTTTTATAAAAAACAAATCACACATAGGTATATGTGATTTGTTTAATATATTATTATAATATTATATAGTAATTAATAATAATAATAATACGTATTGTAATATTAATAGCTGTTATTATAACTTAAAATAATTAATGTGTAATTAGAAAACAAAAATGTTATCACTCATAAATCGAAAAAAAAAACTTAAATTTTTAAATTTTTATACATCTATAAATAGCACGAAAAACTAAAAGGGCTATACTTGAAATAATTGTCTACTAAAAACCATCCACGAAGTCGAAACTCTGAGAATTTTTACTGATCTAAAAAATTAAAGGTGATCACTGATCCAAAAACAATTACACACACACACACACACACACACACCCACACACAAATCATTGTAAAATCAATATATAATTCAATGGCTTAACTTTTTGTTTCCCACGAAACCTTAAATGCCTCAAAGATCTTAAAACCCTTTCGATGCACATTCATTGCAGGCACACATCTGTAGCGGCATAATATTATATTTGCGAGTTATACACAGTTGAACGGTCCAAGACACGCACGTTGCAGGCACCATATGGTATACCGCGGCGGCGTTGTTAACCATGTACGGTTATAACAATAATAAATTGTATTATTTAATATACGATGCGTATACATGTTATTATAATAGTATAAATTAAAATGCGATTCAACCGAATTATGTAGACAATATTATAATATAAATCCACGCGATACGCCGTGGACCGCAAAACATCGCGTTCGATACAGCATGCATATGATATATGCAATACCGTCTGGATCTTAAAATAAAATTTATGCAATTTATGCAATACGCATACACTGAACACTGCATATATGTGGAATACCTACACGCTGTGGTGTGAGTAGGCAATCATATTTATAGGTATACACTATATTATGTGTGCGCGAAATAAACAAAATAAAAATACTTTAAACATGAAAGTATTTCTCCCGCAACGCTCCAACGATAAGTCGATTTTGGCATAATTATATTAATAACTTACGATTTCATACAAGTAATTGGCTACCAATATTACGATACACCTTCTGCATGTATCCATCATAATGTGCCTACCGCGAACTAGCGTGTGAATCCTTCTCCTGTGAATAATAATTTATTAGCTTTGTAAGAGATTCTGTTTAAAACGATTTTAATTTCGTTTTACATAATTTTACATATTATTTTAAATAATTTTGAACACGCGTGTATCGAATGGGGGATTCGTATTTTACACAATAATTTCCAATTAAATAAATTACTTTTCGAATAAGTTTTCATCTTAAAACATGTTATACTTGTAATGTTATTACTTATTTGTGAGAACAGTTTGGTTCCCATTACATAAAATCAGTCAAATGATAATATATTCACTGTGGAATCGACGAGACATTAAGACTATAGGACGAGTGTCGTACGTTGTCTCTGTTTTACTAACGTATAGTAACGTATATAATATTATAACATTAAAAAAAAAAATCCTTTTTACTCTGTTATTTGTGAAATTAAAGCGAATCTACTCATTATCAAATGTAAAATTAAGAATATTACCATGGCCTTTATAGTAATAGTGATACAAGTTCTATCATAACTTTAAAATTTTAAAAAATGTACAATTTCAAAATGCCCATTACAGAACATTTAATACGTGGGGTGGTAAGATATCCAAATCTACTGCAAATAGTATAACACGTGTACTTATAAAATTCATCCCGATGTCTGATTAGGTGCCCTTAGTCGGTACAAATCGGTTCTAAAAATATGAAACCACACAATAATTTGTAAAAAAATACATGCAAAGCAATTTTTACTACACAATACGTATTGATAAATTGTGTGTTTATTTATTTTTATTTTCTAATACCCGAACACGGACAATACAATAATTAATGTATGCAAAACATATTACACATTAAAATATAAAAATTCTGTCTAATTTGTATATTAGACTCATCTAGGACCGTCTCAATCGAAAATAGTGCACTGGGCAAAATCAAAATGTTCCTCCCCTACAATAATTTGAAACACTGCAGTTTTACCTACATATTATATACTTCGAGCCGGCCTTGCACTCGTCTTCAAGACCGATCCCGTCAGACAAGCGCTACGCTACGGATAAGACGTAGTTTTGTACGAAACCTACATAGATATAGGTATGATTTCGCATTTAATTGCTGTTTCCCTGTCGACCGTCACTTCAATAATATTATGTACGATAAGTGAACAGCCGGTATAACAGGTGGGCAGGCAGGCAGGTGGGTATCTATACAGGGGGATTCGCTGATGAATTTTGACAATCCAATGAACGCGTATAAGAATCGGGTGAACGTGTTTGGTGAATCACCCTGTAGGTACATTAACGTTTGGAAATCGTTAAAAAACGTAACGTCTTAAATTAAAAAACGCGATAGCCCTCGTTATCAATCTTAATTTCCTCGTGCAGTAATGTATTGTTATTATGCCGACGCATATATTATAATAATAATGTAGTTATGTATATTATGTAGTATGTACTTGCGAGTTGCGTCCAATAGGTATATAAAGCTGGCAGCGCGCGATTGCGACAGAAAAAGAAAGAGCTTTACATTCCGTCAGAACATTATTATGGCGGACGACCATCGGCCACGATTAAATATTCAAGGACGCTCCAGGAATAGCACTACGGCGGCACTTTATTTAAATGATTATTCCTCGATAAACATAATATTATTACTTCAAAGTCTGAGCGTCGTATACGGTTGAATTTATTAAGCAAAACCGTGGAATGTAACTCGGAATGTATATTATAGTTGTCCGGTATAGGCATTACGTACTGTGCATCGGCCAAATGCGACGTTCGTTTAGAGTTCTGTGAGGTGTTTGAATAACACGAATATCACTGTTTACAAATTTGAACACATTTACAGCAATTGGCTGATATCTACGTCGTAAAATTAGGTTTGTTCGGAAAATGCCCCGTTGTATTCGATTACGACCGAAATCCATAGAATATATATTCTATCTAAAACGACGCACTGATATTATCGTCGTAAAAGAAGAATAATTTTAAATATTTTCCATAAAACTCGAAGTTCTAACCTCGGGTATAATAAAACTCTGAGTTCTAACCTCGGGTATAATATTACCGAGTTCGGTAAACAAAACATGATATTATATACTCACATATAATATACAGTTAATAAAACCGTTTTAACGCCATTATATGGTTGTTCATAAATTATCATAACGATAAAACGTTTATGCGGATACATTTATTAGACCGATTGATGTACCTAATCGTTAGTAACATATTATTAAGGTATTTCTTTATTTGTTTCAGGTGATGAAGACTAATTTCTCTTATGCGTATTTATGTATCCAGTTCCAAACTATCTAGTTTCCAATGGTTACAATTGTATTTTAGAGGTCAGTCGATATTTTATTACACCACTGTATTACATTTAAATAATTATGTATAATATATTATATACATTATGTGACGTTATAAATACAAATTTTTATAACTGTTAAACAAAGCAAACCGACATTATTATTATCTTTCATTCGATCGTCAACGAAATACGAACATATTATTATTGTATATAATATGTATAATATCATCATAAAAAATCTCATACATTGACGAAATGTTGATATTTGCAATTAAAACTGACCTTAAGGTAATAATGGGATTCAACTACATTTTTTTTATTACACTTTTTTTCTATAAATAATAAAGAATAGGTAATGGTTTGAACTAGATTTTGACGTGACGTCTCTGTGTGCCGACAACCGGTTTGAAATGATAATTAAAAATAGAAAAAAAATCGCATTGCTAATCGGGATGGAAAAAAATGTGATCTTCGTTATTTTCTAAATTTCTCCAATTTTTCCTAACCTAGGATTTTTTTATTATTAATTTACCTCGCTAAAATATTGTCTCCAGGATGCGGTGTACACGTATTATTATTGTCCAGCGCACGTAAAATTTTCGAAGAATAGTGAAATCATCGTCCGATGAAGATTATAGTTTTATTATTTTATACTTATCTACAGACGTTTTATCCGTTAGCGGTCTTGATTGAATATAATATAATGACATATGTCGTTCATGCGCGTATAATATTTTTAAAGGAGAATGACATTTTTCGATTGTTTCACCGGTGATATGACTACATTTAACAAACATCTGATAAATATTTAAAGCCTAAAAAACTCGTATTTACGTGTACTGCAGCTTTTTCGGTGTTGAGAGGATGTCGGAACTACTATTGTTTTCTCTCTTCGACCCGCGTCCGACATGTCGAATTCGCGTTCAGCAAAACCGACCACCTGTTGTAGACTGTATTTTTTAAATTCCAAACAACTAATTAAGTATGTATACTAGCCTCATACAGGTTATAGTCTTCCTCAATAATATATTATATTTTAAGATGATGTCAGTGCACTATTTATTGTTTTTTCTCCCAAACCCACTCGCCGCAACATAGCTTATTTTCGTTCAACGGAGCCAACTTCGGTGTTATCTGCAGCTTTAGTATTATAGAACGAATTTACCTATTGTCAAACTTTAAGTTAAGAGCACGATCGATCTGATTTTGCACCCTGCTTTTTTTATGATACTTATATCAATATTGTATGCGTAAGTTATGTGGTGCACCTAAGAAAAAAATTGAGATTTAAAATCGTTAATAATAATATATTGCAGAAAAATCGGAATACCGTAATGAAATATACCTACGTCCATAGGCGGAAATCCATTAGAATTTCTGGGGGGGCTAAACTAAAATAAAAACTACATTCAAATAATTTGATAGATATCGAAAAACAAAGAAACACATTGTGTCGCATATTTTGTTGAATTGAATCTGAAAGCATTTTAACAGCCTATAAGTACACATAAATACAACAAAAAAAGACCATTAAAAGAATAAAGTTTATTAAAATTATTGTAACACAATTGTTCTATTTTTTCTTGCAAATTTGTTGATTATGGAGTCATTGTCAATATGCTTTACAATATCCTTTTCAATATTAAGTATTGAAATTGTGTTGAAACGATTTTGAAGCATAGATGTTCTTAACCATGTTTTTAAGCGTCTCATTGCCGAAAAAGAACGCTCACATGTTGATGAACTAATTGGAAGAGTGATCGCCACTTGCAACAATTTGTACACATTTGGGTAGACTTGCTTTGAGACATATTTTTTTATATCTTCAAGTTTAAAATCATTTTTATCGCATGAACTTTTAATACAATTTTTGGCAACTGTCATTTCTGATCTTAAATCTTGTTTAGATATGTCCAACAAGTCCTGAAAATATTTTTTGGAGTAAATCAATTTATTTAAATGTATATCATGCATATTATTCAAATAGTATATACCTGATAATGGTCTTTTAAAACATTTGGTGATTCGTGTGTTAGATTATTTTGTTTTTTATTTACATTAAAAATATCATAATATGTAGTACTTTTAGACATTTTATTATTTATTATTATTTTATTATTAAGGCTCACCAACGGTTAAAGAACATTTTAAAAATACGAGATATAAAAATATAAAATAATTACGGAGTAGCCACTATTAAAACAGATTAACACACTAGGTATAGCGGCGACGGCGGCGGCGGCGGACTTGTTTACAATGCGACGCGTGTTACTTCGTGCGGGACTATGCTGCGGACTGGTAACTGACGGTTTAGTTTTTCTGATATATATAGATGCGAGATAATGCTCTCGATTGTTCTCGAATA